GTGCGCTCGCCAGACAGACAGAGAGAGACATAGAGACAGAAAGCGAGAAATCACCCCCCAGGGGGGATGGTCACGCCGCAATCCCTTCTCCTCCATTCTCCTCTCAGGATCTTGGGCACGCACGCACACGCGCCCGGCGTGAGTTTTAAGCCACCGGGTCCAGGACACGAACCGCGGTCGACTACGTGGGAGTCCAGCGACATGGCCATTACGCTAACTGCTGGTTCCCAAAAGTTTATAAAGTTTTATAATCAGTTATAGCTTTGCTCTCTTTTATGCTTATATAAATGTAGAAGTGGAATTTAACTTTCCCTGCCAACATAATAGAGGAGATGATAAATATTATATAGCAAATTTCTAGCAATCATTAGATATCTACTTTTTCTTTTTATAAAAGAATTATTTTATTTAATTTTTATTTATTCATTCATTTTATTTTTAATTTGACCCCCCCTCCACACACACACACACAGGGAAAGTGAGAAAGCAAGCCACCAGGTCCAGGACTCAAACCGTGGTCAGCCATGTGGGAGTGTCCAGCACCTTAACCACCATGCCACCTGCTGGTCCCCCATATCTACTTTTTCATAAGACATTTATCATTGTCTTTCTGTTTCAATATAAAGTATAATAATAAAATAAAAAGTGTAGTTTACTACAGTCTAATTTTTCTTTCTGATAAATCTTCTTTCTTGAACACAAGCATGTTTTTCAAAGAGGAATATTAGACTTGGATGAGAAAGGGATCTCTGAGCTTAGAAGTTTAAGAAAGTACTATATTGGAAAATATAAATATGGTTATAAATGTATGCAGGAAGAAAACATGAATCATCTGGATATGATTGTTAGATAATGCTGAGATATATTTGCATGCTAAGTTCCTTCGTTGATTAGATTAAATACTTATTTACATTGTATAATTGCTTCATAGATCTCTCAGTGAGGAAATAGTTGAAATATTTTGGTGCTTTACTGTCTTAACATTCAACTAAATGTTCACACTCAGAACCTCTTGCTTTGGAAGATGGTGCATACCTCACTGGTGGGGAAGATTTTAAGAAATGTCTATTTCAGTACTGCGGATGTGGCCCAAGTAGTGGAATCAGCTGGTGACTTATTTCTAGATATTGCATTTTGTTTCTATGAACTTTGTGTATTTAATTCCAGTGGATACAATGTTTACTATCTTTTGCATCTGATTATACCTATAATTTATGTAACAATTTATAGGTGAATTATTTTTAAGTCTGTGTAATACAGTAATACATTATGACGGTCTTACTAGGTACTCATTAACACTCTCTGTTTTAAATTGACAAAACAATTAACCCCTAGTGTGTGCACTTTTATTAAAAGCTTTAAATAATGGTTTGAGGACATATTAAACCCAGCATTGAATTCGTTATTTCCATCCTTTTCTGTCAATGATTGATTCCAGATATTACCTAGGTATTTTATGTGTTATTTTAACCTTATCATGAATTTGTCTCAAGTACCATTGGCCTCATTTAAAGATGAGGAAACTGAGGGTCAAAGGTGACTACCATAGCAGGAGATGTCTGAGAGGTGGTTAATAGTAGTCATAATCAGGGTCAGCCTATCTAAGTTTTTATCTAGGCCCTACCACTTTAGAGCTCTATGACTCTGGCAGTTTCTTAACCTCCCTAAGTCTTAGTTTCCTAATACATGGAAAGAACAATAATGCTAGTCTCAAGGACTATTAATAAAGATTAAATAGAATATCATACATGGAAAGTGCTGGACATCCATTGTTGCTCAGAGTCACATAGCATCACTAAATAATTTTCTTAAGGTCCTCAGATGATACGAAGCAACCTTTGGGACAATATATACTGTCACTTTCTTACTCTTAGTACTTCTTACTCTTTCAAGATAAGTAGCATAGATGAGAGTAAATAGTACTTCTAGCAGTTTTAAGAACTGAGAGGTAGAAGGTATGAGATAAGTAATAGAGGAAAGATGTCATAGAATGATGAAACTTACATAGTCTTGGGTTCAGAGGCTATGGCATAAATTAAGTGTTTTTTTGGAGAGGCTTTTGCTATAGGGCACGTGTTCTCGCCAGACAGACACAGAGAGACAGAAAAAGAGAAATCACCCCCCAGGGGCATGGCCACGCCACAATCCCTTCTCCTCCATTCTCCTCTCAGGATCCTGGGCACGCACGCACACGTGCCCAGCGTGAGTTTCAAGCCACCGGGTCCGGGATGTGAATTGCAGTCCAACTACGTGGGAGTCCAGTGACATAGCCATTATGCTAACTGCTGGTCCCATAAATTAAGTTTTCTAAAAAAGTACAGAGGCATTTTTTTAGATGATACTGGAAGGGGCAAACACTCTTTTTGGATTTATTTTTTCACAGTATTTACTTAAATCTTTTACAAATGATTAACCTTAAATGAGCAACAGAAATATTTGTTTTTGGTAGAACTTTCCAGTGGTCATTCCCAAAAATGCACTTATTTTCCCTACTTAAGCAATAGTTATACATATTAAATATTGTCCTTCCAACATTTAGAACTGTAACTCTTACTGAGAAAGAATTTGCTCTTTTTACTTTTTTTTCCTCTTTCAAGTTCCTGTTACAACTTTAAATCTTGTTCTGGTACTTAATATTTTTTTACATTCTTTTCTAGTTCTTTATTTCTATAGCTTATATGCTGTACTTAAGGACAAGATCTGTCTAATGTCTAATTACATTGGCTAACACCCTCAATACAAGCCCAAGAATGAATTGTAAATTACTGAGAAGAATGATCTCTTCATATTTTATTCAACTTCTCTGTAGCCAAGTAGTTCTCTCTTACCAGTAACTCTAGTTAAAACTAATATCAATTCTATTAAATATTATTTTCAAGAAATTCCTAATGGTAATTTGGAAAGTTTAAATTTGACATTCTCTGTTTACTTTTAGGCTTTTTTTTACTTATTTCATAATATAAGATTTTAGTTTTGCTGCTTTCTTTTTAACAGCAAATCTTGTTGATATTTGGTATAATTTTTTAATTATGCGTTGTACCCGGGTTTTGGGAAAAGTGACATTGTGAGATTTTAGTGCATTCAAATAAATTTGGCTATTAGAAAACAAATAACAACAGAACTTACAGAATAGAATGGGGAGAAAGGCTATTCCTTCTTCTATGACTTAAGGAGAAAAGATTAAGCATTTCCTTTAGTCTTAGTTAGCTGTTAGATCAATTTACCTCAAACTGTATTTAGGTGTAAGGAAATCTGTTCTCTGGCCTTTTGAAATTGTTGTATTCAGAGGCCATGCTTTAGGCCTCTTCTTTCAAAGCAAAATGTTTCAACTTCTGCAAAAGCAAAAAATTGGCACCAGATACTGGAGTAACACATTTGCTGATGATTGACCAGAAAACAAGCAAACTCAAACATGCCAATGTTTTATATATGGTGCTTTGCTCAAATTCAGAGATAGTCTGGTTATTAGTAATTTCCAGTTTTATAATGAGCCAGATTATTTTGGTGCATATAAATCTCTTGAAATAAGTCTTAAAATGTCTGCCAAGATCATTTTTACTTAATACTCTCTTGTCTAAATTTCACAGGCTAAAAGTAGATCAGAAGAAAATAGAAAATACCTAAAACATTATAGTTTTAACAAGGCAATCCATAAGTTCTGGGAAATAATGCTGCTAATTAAAGCTACCATTTATGGAACTATCCACAACCTGCATATGTCAGGAACTTCAGATAGATCCTTATTCCTCTTGAGAAAGCCCTTCAGGATGGGCATCTTTTCTGACACTTATTTAATTTTTTCATCAATCAAGAATGGGGCACCCCCAATAGGCTGTTCATGCCATGATCCACCTTAGTTGGCCTTAGCCACGCAGTTTCATAGGCATAAAATACATGAGACCTGGAATACAAGCCAGGGACCTTCCCACAGGTCTTCACATTTCGGAATGTAGCATTAGCACAGAGCCAACATAGCTGGCTGGGTTTTAACCACTGCACATATTGGGAGGTAGGCTTAAATAATTCTGTCAGATACCAAATCTACATGATTTTAAATGAGATAGTATTTGCATGTATTTGGCAAAATGTTTAAATAAGTGGTAGCTATTGTTTCTGGTGATCTATGCTGCTTCCCAGACTGAATACACACAGAAACATATACACGCATGTATAGGAATGAAAAAAGCTAAGAGTATTATAATATGCAGCTTGCCATGCCATCAGACTTTCCTTCATTCGTGTAATCTGCAAGCCGTTAGAAACCATAATGTAGGAGAAGCCACTTTATAAGATGTAATACCTAGAAATAAGCATTAAAATAACTACATATCTTGTTTATGGACAACTTTAAAACATTCTCATAGGACAAAAAAATGGGCCCGAATAAATGGAAAAGCATATATTCTTGGATAGAATGATTCAAAGGCATAAAGATGTTAATTCTCTGTGAACTGATTTATAACTTTAACATGAACCAAATGACAGTATTGACATGTACTTCCCCAAAAACTAGACAAGACAATTACAAACTTACTGGCGACACATTTCTCACTGTGGCATATACTTTATTCTTTCTCTTCACTACTGCAAGTTCCCTGATATTTAGATAAATTTACAGAGATGTTAAAATCATTTGTATAGATTGCATTCTGATGAACTTTAGTCTGATAAGTTAGGTAGACAGGAATATAAGAGAGTGTTTATAGCAATATCACGAAACTTCTAAGTTATGTGGAAAAACATCATGCAGTAAATGTATCAAAAAATGTTTTTAGCAGTCTGTCAGCTGACAACTTGATTAGATCCTTAATTTTGCTATTAGCATTGACCAAAAAGCTACTCATTGGCCAAAGAATTATTCACCTGGTCATTAGGGTACCAATAAATAGCAATATTTTAAATTATCTGTTTAACGTTTCAGAGGTTTTCTCCTATAGCCCTTTAATATTGTTGATTTAAAAACTTACCTAATATTTCATTTTTCCCCCTTCATTTCTTAGTTGCATTAAAGCCCTCCCCAGCTGACAGAAATGGAGGCCAGGATAACAGCACATCAAAATTCAGAGAAGACCTGAATTTGCAAGAAGGAGAATTCTTATTACAGGTAAATTGTAATAAATATGGTTCCTTATAATAAGGACAATTATAGATGTAAAATTACTCAGTCTTTTAATTATTTATGTATTGTTTACTCAGTGCTTTTGTCACTTTCATCTGAACTATAATTATGGCATAGTATTGGTACATGATAAAGGAGAATTATATGAAGTTCATTAGAGGTCTGGTTATCACCCGTCCTGTCATAGTTTCTCAAATAGCAAGAACTTTTAGAGCATTATAAAGATTCTCACTTAACATGCTGCATTAAGGGACCACCAGGTGGCATAGTGGGTAAGGGGCTGGACTCCGACATGGTTGACTGAGGTTCAAGTCCTAGATCTGACACCTTGAAATTCATGCAGGGTACACGTCCGTGCACATCCAAAATCCTGGGAGGAGAAGGGATTGTCTCTGTCTCTCTCTGTCTCTCCAATGAGTGCTCACACCCTCTATAAAAAATCTCCCTCTCCCTAAAAGATACTGAATTTATTTACCATTTTTCAAGAATGTGGCTGTATTGAATTATGTAACTGCATTTATTTAATCCTTTAAAATTGTTCTTAACCTGAATTTTATTATTTTTTGATATTATCTTTTAACTTACATTTTATTTTAACAGCTCTGTGTGACTAATTAACATGCCGTAGATTTTCTTGAGACCAGCAGATGGAGTAATGGTTACATCGCTGGATTCCTACATAGTCAACCGTGGTTCTAATCCCAGATCCACGGGCTTAAACCTCATGCTGGGCGGGTGTGTGTGCATGCTTAAAATCCCCAGAGGAGAATGGAGCAGAAAGGATTGCAACGTGGTAATTCTCCATGGGGGGTGATTTCTCACTTTCTGTCTGTGTCTTTCTGTCTCTTCAGTGAGCCCACATGCCCTATAGCAAAAAATCTTCTCAAAAAAAAAAAAAAATGCTGTAGATTTTCTCAGTAACTCTACATTCTATTTTTATACTTTAGAACTTGGAGATTATCTAATATATTTGTGACAGCATTTTAGCTTTTATAAAAAAATTCTGTTTGAATTGATAAAAAGGCAATCCATAAGTTCTCGAATACTTGAGTATACTTAAGTGTCACTTAAAATTCTCATATTTATTTTGTTGAGAAAGGGTAGAGTGAAGACGAGCACTGTCACGGCATTAGCTGATCATTTTAGGTTCTGTCCAGTTAACTGAGTGAAAGAGCTTAGCTTGCCATTGTGACCGAAAAATAGCCATAAGTTTTAGTAATAAGTCCACGAGTTCATTTAGTGAATGCTAAAATATCATCTAATAATTTATAACATTTTATATGGTAATTCTGTAATCATGCTTAAACTTCTCATAGACAAAATTTAGACAAATTGGATTTCTCCAAGCATGAGCCCTCCCCTGACTCCCAGCTGAGGATCTTTATGTATAAATATTAGCAAAACGTACAGTTCCTTACTTAGTTCATAGGAAAACATTCTCACAATTGTCGCTTGAGATGATTATGTACACACCTTAGGTTGTGCAATCAGGTGATGTGTAAAAAGTAAAAATAGACACTAGAAAATAGACATATAAACTGATTAAGCATAACATCTGGCAAGTTGGTTGAAATTATGGGCCAACAATTTTTGTTTTCTAAGATAGTTAGGCAAATTGTATTTCTATCCCATGTCTAGGACAAAGAATAAGAATAATACTAATTCAAGGTAGTATTTTATATAAATATGTATTTATTAATTATTTAGATATCAGGAACCTTTAGGGATTAAACCCACCTGTTATAAATGATATCAGATTCCATTTGTAGACCATTGTCCAATAAAAAGCATAACATACTATACGATTTTCTTAGGATGTGCTTTTCTTTATCTTAATGAAGAAGATGACTAAAAAAAGACATTTTGTGGAAATGATGTATATACAATTGTCATAACTATCTTTATATTTTTATGCTGTAGCTATCAACCTATTATCACTAAAATATAAAAAATGTTACCAGAGGTACAGTATACCATATGGCCTGAAACTTTTGATGAGAACCGCTTTGTTTGCCTAACTCAAGGCACATTAAGAACATGTTGCAAAATGTTTTATTAACAAAATTGTAACTGTTTTTACTTTCTAAGTTACCTTAAATTTTTTATTATTTTACGAGGAATAAAATGGATAAATACAAATAACTTTATTATCTTTTCATTATCTATTTTTCATATCACATGTTTATCTCCTACACTTATAGTAAGTTCTCTCTGGTGCTTTTTGATACTGTGCTTACAATATTTCAGCTTCCTCTATTAATAACAGCAGTTGAAATTATATATAACTATCAATAGCAGTTACTTCTCTTAAATTGTAAGTGAACGGCAACATGGTTTTCATATAGGGTAAAGTTTTGTGACTAGAAGGATGATAATCTCTTTTATTAATATATACTTAGCATATTCCTTCTGTTCCTTTATTAAGATAATTCAGTATAAGTAATAACCTTAACGTCCATAATATTTAAGATCATTGAGATATATAAAGAATTGGTATGCATCTCTATTTAGATTTTATATTATTTCTGACAATTAAGATTTGCCTAAAGGGAACTGATATTGCACCTTATTTCTGGCATGCACCAGTGAGTTTATCTAAGTGTACTAAATTTGCTTCACTGTTTGAAAAATTGTGATGCTTTTCAAAATAATGTGGATGTGTGATCATGAATAGTCTTCTTTAGGAAAAAGATTTTTTCAGAATGAAACAACGCAGTAATGAGTGTATACTGTTACTGCCAACAGTTTAAGAATATTCCCTTTTGGATTTTTAAATAATTTAATATTCATGTTCCCATGGGTGGAATCCCCATTCTTCATCCTGAATAGTGCCAGGTATTATAAATAGTCTCTAATCAAGGACATGAGAGTCCAGATGTGACTTGTAACTTAGAGCTATGTGACAATGTGTGATAAATAACACATAAAGGCGGTCTACCATGATAGCCTGAGATTACTTCCTAGTTCAGCTTTTTCTGGCTTTGTGACCTTGGCAAGTTACTGTACAGTCCTTTACCTCAATGTTTTTAGTTGTAAAATTAAATATGACATCTCAATGAATTGTTGGGAGAATTCAACTACTTGAATACGAAATAAAAACACTCAGAAAAAGGGCTGCTAAATAATAGGTGTTGTCATCTTTGTAACCAAGTTCTCAGAAGTGTAATGTGGACCAAGGATCTTGAAGGTAGAAGCCATGAGAATGAAGAGAGAGACAGTCTGTTGTATGTTTCATTTATCTCATCTGGTAATGAGGACAGAGAGTAGGGGTGGGAACATCGTGAGCATGGGGGCTGCATCTTGGTACCTCTTGAATCCCAGTTCTGAGCATGTGTCTTCTTTCATATGCAATAGTTCATTAAGTGTTGGATAAACTAATCACTATTATTTATGTAGCCTTCTTTGTTTCTCAAACTACAGTCATGACCCAGTCTTAAATAAAGTAAAATGAAATTAGGCTAAAAGCAGACATGAGGGAGAAAAAGAAACACAGAACAGAAATTCTGTCAGTAGTAACATATGTAAAATAACAGATTTAAACATAATTGTATTATTAATCACATGAAATTTTTTTAAATTAAATTAAAAAAAATTTGAGAGGATTTTGGCTTACGACACATGCTCCTGCTGGGGAGGACAGAGAGAGAGACACACACACATACAAACACACGCAGTGAAAGGGAAAATGAGAAATCACCCTCCCGCGGGGGACGGCCACACTGCAGCCCCTTATCTTCCATTTTCCTCCTGGAGTTTTAGACACACATGCACATGCACCCAGCATGATTTTCAAGCCAATGGGTCCGGGACTCAAACCACAGTCAGCCATGTGGGAGTCCAGTGACATAACTGCTATGTCATCTGTTCATCCTAGTTTACATTAAGTTTTTTTTTCTTTTCTTTTTCTTTTTTAGAGGTTTTCGCTATAGGGCACATGTGCTTGCCAGACAGACAGAGACAGAGAGACAGAAAGCGAGAAATCACCCCCCAGGGGGGATGGCCACGCTGCAATCCCTTCTCCTCCATTCTCCTCTCGGGATCTTGGGCACACACACACACGCGCCCAGCATGAGTTTTAATCCACCGGGTCCGGGACTCGAACTACAGTCAACTATGTGGGAGTCCAGCGACATAACCATTACGCTAACTGCTGGTCCCTCTGTTTACATTAAGTTTTAATGGATTGAATTTGCTATTTTTACACTCGTGACATTTGAACCACATGTACCTTTAAAAGTATTTTATGTGTATTCTTTTTCCCTATGAACGTCCTAAAATGTTCTATAATACTTTGAGAATACTCAAATTTCAAATTGCATTAATACTTGAAATTTGTCTTTGCACACAAAATTGTTTTCTCCTGTCTAGAATTTTCTCTTTGAAATCTAATCAACATCTTTGCCCATAGCTATCTCCCTTTAAATAAAAGCCGTATGTCAGATTACAGTGAGTGATGGTTGTACAGTTTATATTTAAAAAAAAGTAAAGTAGGCCCAGTGAACAAAGAAAATCTGAAACAAGAGTAAAAAGAGAAAATCAATGTTTTACGAACATTATTGCAGTTGAGCATTCAATTTAGCCTAAGTTTCTCCTTGGACAAATTAAAAGGTATCAATAGACTCTTCTCTTTCCAAGAATGTGTTGTATACCTGTATTTGCAAAGTGTAATAACTTTTAGTATTTTGATAAGATTTTTTCAGAGAATAAAAGTAGTGGCCTTTATTTGGTAGTCAGTATTTATGAGTAACATTAAGTCCAATACCAAGTTTATTCCTTTTTTCCCTTGTAGGCTCTGCATGGTTTCGTATTGGTTGTCACTACAGACGCCTTGGTCTTTTATGTTTCTTCTACTATACAAGATTACCTGGGGTTCCAGCAGGTAACTGTGTTTTTCCTTATATCATTTACGAGCAATTTTTCTAGAAAATGAACTTTCTGCTTTTTATGTATTTTATACTTAGGAACATAGTTGCCTGTTTGTACATATAAAGTAACAATATATAGTATAGAATAAAAATAGGTATTTGCAGCTCATACACTTTTTCTAAAATGAATAATTTGCACTATACTGTCAAATTTATTTATTTTTTTAAATAATTTTTTTCTAATTTTATTCATTTGGTTATTTATTTTAATTTGACCAGAGAGGAACAGAGCAAGAGCAAGAGAGAGAGGGAAAGTGAGAAAGCAAGCCACCAGGTCCAGGACTCAAACCATGGTTGGCCATGTGAAAGTCCAGCACCCTTAACCACCACACCCCCCTATAATGTCAAATTAAAACTGCCATTTAAAGGTTGATATGATTCATGGTTATTGTCTTCTTTCACTTATCAAAAATCTCACATTTAAGAAATTTCAGAGAGTCTGGTAGGTGGCATGGTGGTTCAAGGCACTGGACTTGCACGTGGCTGACTATGATTCCAGTCCTGGACCTGGTGGTTTACTTTCTCACTTTCTCTCTCTCTCTCTCTCTCTCTCTCTCTCTCCTCTCTCTGATAAACTGGAAAATAATAATTAGTAAAGTTAATTTTTAAAAAATTCTTTAAAAAAAGAGAAATTTCAGGTACATGGGATTTTAGGGTACATAGAAGAAAACATTTACGGAGATCAGAAGACAGATGACAGCTATGAAATGAATGAGACGTTATGTAAAGGTACTAGCAAAATTTCACAGTTTATACCTTTAATTTTGATTTATGTGGACTATAGGAGAAATCCTAAAGGGAAATAGTTTTTAGGTAACTAACACATATAAGGTTCAGGTGGAAGTTGAGAGAACATAGGAAAAAAATAAAAATACTATAAACAGTAGATTAGAAGTTTAAACATGTCTGAGTGTTTAGTGCTATGTAATGAATGGTGAATAAATGGAATTATAAAGTATTTGTATATTTGACAGACAAGAACATTCAATATGACTTGAGAATAGGTTGTAAGTACACTTGAATGCTTGTTTTTCTTGTCTCTGATTCTCAAATTGTCATATGCAGAAATATTATCTGAAGAATTGATATATTTTGTAAAATTTCTTGGTCCTATTCTCAGATATTCTGATGCAGTAAGTCATAATAAATCACCTAATTTTGGATTTATAACAGGCTCACTAAGTCCCTGGTCTAAATAACATTCTCCAATACTGTTGTATAGACTGTAGTTTCTGACCATATATCGAAACCACTAAAGGCTTCTAATACGGAATGTGTATTCTTCAACTTGTGTTTCAGATGGTTATTCCAACAGTTGTGTAACAGATGGCATAGAGATCATTTATGCTAGAAGATTAAGTTCCTAGGGAGATTTAAGTGTAAATGACTAAAGTAATGGAATCTGGCCACTGCCACAAAGCCTAAATTTAGTTTTAAAGAAAATACATTAATGTTCATAGAAAAGTCCATTTGAAGCTTACTGAATCATACAGCTATCTTGTGATTTCCTATTATAATGGTTAAGAAAACCAAAGCGATTGTTTTCCAGTCTATTTTTTTCCCCTCACATAATACTCACTGCCCAGATATTTTTTAAGAAAGCGTTTATAGCTAATGTGAGTGATAGATTTAAAGCAGCACTTTTGAAACTGTAAGTTGTGACCAATTTGTAGGTAGTTGATAGATTGGATCACCATCCAACTTTCTTTTTAGTTCAGGATAGAATGAAATAAAATAATAGGAAGTACACAATATCATCACACATTTTAAAGATATTTTGCAAAACTTTTTTCTGTGTATAAATGAGTATGAACACATACAAATGAATGAAAAATTGTTTCTTACCATTAGTTTCAATTTTAAAAAGTCGAAAAGCTCTATTTCTGAAGACTAAACGATACACGTGTCATTGCAGTAAATGCTGAGAGGCAGGAAAGAGGGGAGGGATCCTCATGTAGAGACAGAATTCTTACTATTATGGCATCTACTTAGAGTAAAAATGTAATGCCAAGGAAACTTTTAGAGAACAGTGAAGTAAATACACAGTGAATATTGTTAAGGTTACAGAGGACTCAGTGTTTAGGAAGGGATTCATGGAAGAGGTGGGATTCAAAATTAAAAAAATGAATGGATGAAGAACATAAGCAGATCTTAATATGCTGCATTTAAGGAATGGGGAAGTGTTCTTTTGAGCAAGAGCATTCATGCTGGGAATGAGGGCATGTAACTTTTGGCTTATTTTGGTTATAAGGCGGGCGCTCTCCAGCTTTTCCTATCTTGAATGACTACAGAGCTTTGACAGTCATTTGATCTATGTTTATCACCACTAAGAAGTACACAGTCATCGAGATAGATTTTGTGATTACTTTAATAAGCCATATATATTTTTAATTGGAACTTTGCTTTGCTTCCTTGTATCTTTTTTCCTTAGTCCGATGTCATACACCAGAGTGTGTATGAACTTATCCATACTGAAGATCGAGCTGAATTTCAGCGTCAGCTGCACTGGGCTTTAAACCCTCCACAGTGTACAGACTCTGGACAAGGAATTGATGGTAAAATATTTACTAAGAGATCGTGTTGGTGGTTTTTTAATGATTCTGTAAAAGGAGGCTGGAAACCTGTACGGGGCATCAAACTCCATGGTGATAGTTAGGAGTGAGTGGAAAGAGTTGTAATCCAGAGCCAGTTCATAAAGAGCCTGTTGAGCTAAGGAATATTCTGGCAGATGAACTCCACTAGGTTTCAAGCAGGAGAAGGTTCCCATGCTCAGTAATAGATTTTGTGAAAATAACTATGGTACAATCATGAAAGATAGAAGGAATGTACAAGAGTGATGCTGGTGTGTATATAAATTGTGCTGTTTAAATGCACCAAATACAAAAGTAAATCAGTATATGCAAATATAAAAATAGCTTTTTGGGGGACCTGCAGTTGATGTGATGGTTATGTTGCTGGACTCCCATGGTTCGAGTCCCAGACCGAATGGCTAAAACTCATGCCAGGTGCATCTAGGTGTGTGCCCAAAATCCTGAGAGAATGGAAGAGAAGGGATTGTGGCATGGCCATCCTCCCGGGGGGGATGGTGGGGGGGATTTTTTCGCCTTCTGTCTGTGTCTTTCTGGTGAGCACATGTGCCCTATAGGAAAAAAACTCTCAAAAAAAAAAAAAAAAGCTTTTTGAATGAAAATAGTCTTATAGAAATCTATGATATGCTAAGAAAACAAACCGAGGGTTTAAAAATAAGGAAATTATTGACAGTGATAGCTCAGTAAAACTAAAACTATAAACAAAACTAAGTTCTTTGTGATAAAAGTGATTTTCAGGGGCCAACCCCGCAGTTAAGTGGTTAAGTGAGTTGGATTCCACATAGTTGACTGTGATTTGAACTTTGGTCCCCAGTAGCTTAAAAAAACTCTGGGCATGTTTACCCAAAATCTCGACAGGCTAGCGAAATGAAGAAGAGATTATGATGTGACCATTCCTTTTGGGGAGATGCTTCTCCTACTCTCTGTGCATCTGTCTGTACTGAGTGCACATACCTTGGCAATGAAAAATAAATAAATGAAGTGCTATTTAATAGGTTTTTAGGGGAGCAGGCAGTGATACAGTGATGACATACAATGCTCTGAGTCTGACCCACGGAAGTCAGTTCCTGGTTTGCCCCTGAAGACCTCCCTGGCCATGCCAGGCATGCATGTACCTGTGATCCAGGATGGGCTGAAGCTGGGGATGTTGTGTCTCTGTCTCTCTCCTCTTTCTCTCTCAGTAATGGAATGAATAAATCTTTTATTTTTTCAAGTTTTATTTTTATACATGTAATCACTGTACATCACTTAGCTTGTAAATTGAATTTACTCAACATGAGTACACTTCCCAGCAGTCCAGTTGAGGATACAAAACGCATTGTCAGCAACCGATGATAATCCATTTCTGTGTCCCATAAATGTCTTGCCTCTCTATTTTTCTCCATAATTTCTTTCATATACTCTTCCCTTATTTTCAAAGAGAAAAAGTATTCATTTCTTTTTGTTAGCTCTTCTTCTAAAAATGATTTTTTTTAAGTTCAGACTTTAATTTAGAAATTAACACAAGTTTTAGCTATTCAAACACTTAATTTCATACCAGAGTAGAAAATAAACTTTGCAGTTCCAGCAGTTAGCATAATGGCTATGTCGCTGGACTCCCATGTAGTCGACCACGGTTCGTGTCCCGGACCCGGTGGCTTAAAACTCACACGAGGCGCGTGTGCATGTGTGCCCAAGAGCCCGAGAGGAGAACGTAGGGGAAGGGATTGTGGCGTGGCCATCCCCTCTAGGGGGTGATTTCTCACTTTCTGTCTCTCTGTCTGTCTCTGTCTGCAAAATCTCTCAAAAAAAAAAAAAAAAAAAAAAAAAAAAAAAAAAAAAAAC